AATGAAATAGATAAAAATAAAAATATAATATTCATACTGCGCCTTTCCGTCTTACCTAATTAATTGCTCAGCACATTCTGCTCAGCTGAATACAGACAAGTCAGCTTCTTAAAGCCAAGACAAGTGAAAACAAACACACAAAGCCAAACAAAATGAAGAAAAATATGAAAATGCAAGAACTCAAACACAGCTAATTATCACACATTTGAGAGAAATTGAATGAATATCTATTAGTAGCTCGCTCGATAATCAAAATATATGTCTTCAATTCAATCAGCGCATGCATATATATATATAAACCGTCACACATACATACATAATTTTATATGAAAAGATTAAATCTACAAATTAGTCAACCAAAATCAACTATATATATATATATATATAAAATCCATCTAATTATTCCGTTTACCGAATGGATTATTCATTTATACACAAGAGTGCAACTTTCAATTCTTGCATTAGTTGCAACCAAAATCTCAACATTAATCCCAAATTAATTAATTAACCCACGAAAAAAAAAAAGCAAACCGTTTGCTATCTAAATTGATCACAAGAACCTCCGATAACCGGAGTCCCCACAAATCGGGTCGCCACTAGAATTCGCGTCCGTCTCAGAAATCGGACAGTCGACTGTAACCCCAAACAGCCGGAGCTTTTTCGCGGCGGCCTTCCCTTTCACCACCGGCACTGAGCCCAAAACCACCCGGCCCTCCTCCGGCGGGCCGCAAATAGGGTTTCCCACACACGGGCCGTATAGTTGGACCGGGCCGCCGGGCGGTGGTGTTAGGAACGGGCCGAACGGGGCCCAGAGGCGTCCGACGGCGGCGGAGGCTGGGGCCCAGTCGGGGCGGCGGCGGCGGCAGTCGATTAGGAGGCGGCCGGTGGGGCCGCGGTGGAAGGAGACGAGGTCGCCGGGCTGGAGGGCCTTGTCCCGGACGAATCGGGACCAGCCCTTGGTGATGACGTAGCTCTGGCTGCTGTGCCAGTAGGAGTAGCGGAAGCGCCAGGTCCGGCCGTCGCGGTCCTCGAACCGGAGGAGGAGGCCGGCGCGGCTGTCGTCGGCACGGAGGGGGAGGTGGCGCTCCGCGTGCTGCTTCGGGATGACGAGGCGGTTGAGTTTCCCGACGTCGCTGGGGGTAACCACCTTATCGAACATGTGCTCCACCGCGCTGCTGCCGAGCAGCGGCGGCGGTGGCGGAGGAGAAGGGCTGTTCGCGGCTGAAGCAGACGCCGATTCATCTTCCTCCATCAAATTCATTTTTTTTTTTCACTTTCTTGGGTTTTCAATAATTGAGAGGAATCGAATTAAATGTGTCTGTCTATATATTTCTCTCTAAAATCTTGATGGGTACCAAGTATAATTCTCCCCTAAACGTGGTAGCTAGGTAGATGAAGAAG